GCATATTCTCACCGGCTGATGTGTGGTAACCCCGGCGCTAGTAGGAGCCAACTCAGATTTAAAAGAAAAACAGGGATCAGGGGTTATGTAGGGTGTAGGGTTTTGGGAGTGTAGGATTGATATGGAGGATGTATAGGGTTGTGTAGGCGTTATATGGGGTTACATGGAGATTTGTAGGGTTATGTGAGGTATGCGTAGGGTTATATACTGCTTAGATGGGCTTTAAATGAGTCAAGTGGGAAATTAACTCAACATGAAAACCCTAGACCCTAAACCCCAATCGGGCTTTAGGGTCTCACCCCAAGAATGGAGAGGATTTTAGGATTGGGCTTCAGGGTTTTGAGGTTTCGGGTGTTTGGGCGTTTAGGGATGGAGGCTTTGGGCTTCTTTCGGTAGTATGGGATTTAGGTTTTTTTTGGGGTTTCGGTTTTTTGGGTGGCTTAAGGTTTCGGCTTACATAATCGCCAGGTAGGGACATTTTACTGTAGTCCTATTACATGCTGACATTTCAGACAGTTTTTGGCCTAGGGAATTCAGGAATTCAGCAATGGAGTCGAAGGATTTTGGGGTATTTGTGGCACAGGTGTTTAGGGTGGTCGACCCAGGGGCTTGAGTTCCTTTTTGTGGATATTGTGTTGACCCTAAATCCTAGAAACCCTCATGGTGTGCCACCCTGCAAGAAGCAGGTTAAATGGACGGGTTTTTTCCGGTGGGCTTAGAGTCTGGGATTGAGTGTGTAGGTCTTGTTGGCCGGGTTCAGGTTTAGGGCTTGCGGGTGAGTCTTGTTTCGGGCGTAGGTCTTGGGTTCTGAGAACGGAGTTTGCTGTACTGTCCTTAGATGTCCTTAGGATTTTTTTCATCTTTATTATAGTATAACCCTAAGGAAATATTAGCCAATTATATATCATAGGTCTACGGAAATTACAGTTTGGAGTTCAGGGTTCCGCATGTGATGTGCGGGCTCCAAGCTGCCGCAGATCCTACAGGGAGTTGCAGGATGAATCATGAAGGCTTAAGGTTATGTTGTGGTTCGTATAAAGCAGAAGGACTGATGCACTATGAGATGATAAGTAACATGGATGCGGAGCTGAGTTCTTAAGACGGCAGTTAACAGGTCAGTCACTAGAATTGAATAGAGCAACCGCTCTTTTTCTAGAGGTTCTTCTGAATTCCAAACCAGGCATCAGAAGCCATGTGCCCAACAGGCGTTTGCAGCTATCACCTTCCAGCATGTTGGCCGGGTCTGCGCCAGCTGGCGCGATGCAGTTGACTACGTCGAGGACCTTCGTGCTGTTGATCAAAAAGCTGCCCTAACAAGTGCCATGAAGCAGCTTGTGGATGCATGCACATGTACTGGATTTCCCGTAGACACTTACCTTACGGCATTCTTGCCAAAAGAAGATAGCACTCAAACATATTTCAAAATGGCAGCTCGCCGAGCAGTCTGGACCATTGTAGATTTGAGTTTCTTTTCAAATCCCTATCCCCTAGCGCGCGCAGGACATGCTCCGCAAGCAGCTGGCGGCTGCGATCGGCAAGGAGGTGACACCCGCAGACTTCGCGGCTTATATGAGGCAGATCTTTGGGTTCATGGAGAGGATTGTTGAGGTCTTGGCTGGGACCATGTCCAGTACCTGTAATTTGCAATCACTCACAAGAGTTGTTGGTTGATTCGAGCTTGGGGCTCCCAATGGGAGATCGTTGTAGCAAGGAACCCTGAAAAGGGCTTATGATGTTGAGATGTCCAAGGGCAGTGCTCGGCCAAAGGGGAAAATTAGTAACAATGTCCTCAGGTTCCACTACCGCAAGCTCTTCCACGAGGCGCGGTTCAAGCATCTTGTGATCACCTTCCCGTTTAACAAATGCCACCTAGAAAACATTCAGGACATGATTATGGCGTGAGGGCACTTCTTGAAAGTGTGCAGGGGATCTGTGGGCGCTAAAGGGGCCAGGGGTCCCTGCAAAGTGCCCTACTTCCGTTTCCTGAGTCCTCGGTTCCATGGATGTGTCAGCCATACGACTGATGAACAAATGATAGCGACAACAGTTCGTGTGTGGGGACCCAACAATAGGTTGCGTGCTCATGCAAAGTGAGGCCTTCCTGCCAAAGCCTTTGTGCTTCTCCGTGCGCCGCTCCGAAACGCACAGTCCGGAGGGTACCTTGAGCATCGCACCATGGCTAGCAGGTTTTATTAAGAGGAACTCTCGTGATGAATGTGCATGGCTCATGGGATGGGAACAGACTTTGTGCAGCATCGATGGTATCAACATCACGTCTGGCGGCAATACCAAGGACTGATGTAAGGCACATTCCTGGTCGTTATTAAGGGGTATTCGTTCAAGGCCAAGCGAGGATTCGCTTATACAAAGCTACCATTAGGTTTCATTTGATTCTTTAATCCAACCCCTTATCTCTGCAATTTACATGTTGTGTTAGGGGTATATGTAGGGTTGGGTATCCTTGTAGAAGCCCAAGGAACGTAGGCGGACCATAAGGGGACTGAGGGGAGGGTAGACGCTGCTCATCGTTGTAACTCATATTTTTGCAGGTGTTTTTTTGCCTTGACTACTGTATAGCCCTGAGGAGTCATTCAGAATACTAGTCTGTTTTATAGGTCTAGGGGGATTGGGGTAAGGGCAGGCACCTGCAGCATCAATGGCCGGTACAAAACCTTCCCCAGTAACAGCAAGAGAAAACAAGGAAGAGGAAGTTGTGGGTGCTGGTGGTGACTCAAACATCAAGAGCCCGATCGTCACAATGGTGGCAAGTGCTGCCGAATCCGCTCCAATGAGCTTCCCGCTCCTGGGTCTCGAAAGTTGTTTGGCCGTGTCGGCGTTTGATGTCTAGGAAATGGCTTGAGAAAGTCATTGCGTGATCGCTTCAGAAGGGACCCTTGTGCCACCCGCTTGGAGCCATAGGAAGCCCAATGAAATGCGACAAAGCCGCTGCAAACCGCAAAACTTTGTCAGATCGGATCCAACAACAAAATCCAGGCTCAGTGCGTCCACGAATGTTACATTCGCTGGAGAGCGGCACCTGCATGCCTGGCTTTCGCACCAGCTCCTGGGCTAAGACATCCCGAGACATCCCAAAACAATTTGTGACTGTAAATTTTTTTGTCAAACACGAGGTCGCAACAAAAGGTACGAGGAGTCTCCAGCACTGCATTACAGAATTGATGGGGCATTTTCGAACTTCAGGAGTTCTTGTCTTGGTGGTCATTTCAAGAAGTATCCCTGCGGTGGTTAGTGAGACCTCATGGTTTGAGTCATAGCCCGCTGTAGCAGAAAGTATGGGTGCAGGCCATCCCGCAGCAGGACCCGGACCCTATAACTAATTACCAGGACCCTCCTTGTACCCTGAATTGGGGGGTATATGGTCCCTAATAGTGGGTACTTAGGCCCTAATAGAGGGTAGGAGGAGGGTCTAGGTATAGTGGCAGCTGGGGATATTGCTTTCTTTCCCTCATTGTTGCATGTGGGATCCTACATGTGAAAAGTTTTGGGAGGCATTTTTTGCAGCGGAGCCCAGAAAGTAGTAGCTAGGTAGCAGCGCAGTAGAGGTACTTGTGAGAAATGTTGCCATAGACTAAGTGGACTGCTCTTCTTTTGCTCAGACTTAAATAGTGCCGAATCCGCTTCCCCTGGTAAAAGTGAATCTTGCGTATCCAAACGGTAGTTTCCCAGAATAAGGGGGCCCCAATGTAGCCCCCAAAATATTATAATCCTTATTATGGGTACCCGGTACCCCTCATTTTGGGAAACTCCCAAATATCTGTGCCTCAATGGGATGTTTGATTCAGTGCTGTGAGAATGACGGTGGCTAAGTTGTGCCTTGCTCCACGTCATCCAACTCAGGTTCTCCGGAGAGTCTGGCTGCCAGCTGTCGCTGGTTACGCGTGCAGCCTGCCCAACTTTGGCGGTACCCGTTGCATTCTTGTTGCTAGCACCTCAAGCGCATTCTTGGTGCTAGCACCTCAAGTTCTTTTCCGTGTGGGGCCCCACGCAATAATGTCATTTGCCCGCTTTCTTTCTCTGTCCCGCTCTGACCGGCAGAAGCCCTCGCAGTTGCTTGAACTGCATTGTACTACAGCTGCAACTTTCCTTGAGGCTTGCATGCTGCAAGGTAGATTCAGTGATTGGACTGGACCCCTTTCGATGTGGTGCGAGTGGCATGTAGCTTTCTTCAAGCCGCCAGTCGGCGCAGAGAAATCAGTTTGGCTCCGAGCAACTGCCGGAAGACATCCAGTGACTGCCCTAGGCTGCGGGCGACCCCCCCTCGTTGGCTGCAAAAACAAGTAGCATGAAAGACCACAAGCCCGCAAGCCTCCGCCTGCGAAACCTGCACCCGTGAGCTCACCCGAGGCCAGACAGTTCAGCTCCATGCTGGTTCTGATTGGTCGTGTCTCCTCTGCCACAACCTTCGACCCCAAGTATGCGGCCATCATCCAGAACAAGGATGAGCTGACGATCCCACTGAATCTGTCGACGATTCCGACCCCGAAGGAGTCTTGGGGCATTCATCCGCGCGATTTGGGGTCAAAATCATGAATCCCCACGCTTTGGGGTCAAAATGCTGTCCAGACCCTAGCTCACAATTGCGCAGCAGGTTGTCGCTTCATCTGAATCCGTTGGTAGAAGCTGATGCCATTCGAAAGTTCTCTGGCGTCTATGGCTTCGCATGACAGCTTTAGTCTTGGCTTCGATCCTAGCTTGCGGTCGAAAGGAGGTTTGCCTTTGAAGACGTGAAGGCATGAAAGGTAGCTTTCTAGAGCACACTCCAAATTATAGTGAATGATAGCAAGAGTAATAACAATAGTAGCAATAGTATGCAATAGCAATAGCAGCAACAGTATTACTACTTGTATTAGTAGTATAATAACAAGATGCTCGAGACACCAAACCCTAAGCTTCCCGTCTGAATGGCCCAACGGCTTACATGTGCTTAACGCGTAGTGAGGGAGCGGATCCCTATAGCTATATAGGGTTTAGGGTTTGGGTTTAGGGCTTAGGGTCCCATACTACCCCCAAGTATACTTGTGTGTTGTTGTAAAGCACCTGCAAGACGAAGGAGTTCAAAGATGCCATTGAGAACCTCAGCGGACCTCAGCATCAAGTTTTTAGGGTTTATGGCGTTCAGGGTTTAGGGTTTAGGGTTTAGGGTTTTGGTTGGGGTACTATAGGGGCCTCAACGATTACCAATATTGCGGGGCTAGATTCCATGTAAAGTTGGGTATAAGTAAATCTCAAATGAACCTCTAAAGTGTACTGGAAATGATCTAGGACCCTGTATTATTTGAGCTTCTGGGTTTTGGGTTCTATGTAGAGCTAGACAGTACGAACTATGAAAGATGGGCGGTCTTTGGAGTATGTACAGGGCAAAGTTACCCAGAAACTGCTAAGTCTGGTGAAGCCAAGATCCAGAAAACCACCAGGCAGAAGTTTGTAAGTTTCTGATACCCAGCTTCTCAGACATAGAGTAGCTTGATCCAGGCAAAGCCACGCCATTACTCCTTGCATCCATGGGAAATGACCCCAAACTCTTAGAATCTAAGGTCCTAACCAGGGGGCCCTAATATTGGCCCCTACCCTGCCTGCTTCCTGGATCCTAACTATGGACCCTTTATTGGGTTTGTAGGGCTCCATATTGGTATATCATGTGTGTTCGGGACCCCCTCTTTTTTTTGGGCCCATACTACGGGCCCGTAGTTCCAACCTGACATAGAAGGAAACCAAATGTAATGGGTTGTTCTCAAAATTATGGGCCCCCTTTTGGTTGTAGGTTATATTACACCTGTACCAAAATGGGACCCTGATTCTGGGACTACCCAAATGACACCGCATTGGTGACGTTGAGGTCGCTCTCCCCGGAGCAGCAGGCATTTGCGAAAGCCTTCCGCGCCATGCAGCTGGAGTCCACTCTGTCCCCTGGACATTTCTAGTAGGCTTCTTCCAGTGTTGATAACAGCATGACCTGCAGCCTTTTTTCGGGAGGGTAGAGAGTGGCTACCATACATAACTACTGGAAAGGTTTTGAATTCAGGGATCTGTGCTCAAGTGGCTGCTTGTGAAACATGGGTGAGTCTCGGGGAGCCCATTCATGGGTACAAGGTTGCGTCCAGCACGACCATGATTGCTATGAGAGCTGCCTTTTCTCTTGCAACGTCATGCTCACGGAGCCTGTCGCAGTGGTACTGGCATGCCAGAGTGCATCATCATCTATTTTTTGGTGCTGTTGGTGCTGCACGTTGTGTATGTACAGGTTCGAAGCTGGCTTTAGGCATGATGCTCCTCAACGAAAGGTTCGCAAGCGATGTGATATCAGCAACAAGTTGGAAAAACTTGACATGAGCCCCCCCCAATACTGTTGATACTAATGTACTTAAGATCCCGCACGACGTTATCATGCTTTAATTCCCAAGGTATAAGATACTTGGGTCTTTAGTATCCGCCGTATTTCCCTAAACCCTATAAAGCCTACCCACTGGTATATCCAAGGTTCGGTGTCCTAGTCGTGCAGATCAAGCCGCAGCTGGAGCAAGTGTTGAATTTGGCCGATGACAGCTTCGTGGCTACGTTGGGTACCTAACCCTCACGTAAGAGTATGTAGAATGGTCCGTTCGGCCATATTTTGGGATTTTGGGCTGCTATGTTATCTACTTTTTTTGGTGTCCAGGTAAGAATGTAATTTCGGCTTGCACTCTACATCACTTTGCCGCATGCATGATGCACATCCTTAGCATCCCCTATGTCATCCCGAATAGCAGTAGTTTCCATGTTCTGTTCCAGTCCTTCATTCCATACTATTGTATGCTTTAGGTGGAGCCCCCACCTTGTACTAGTAACTACAAGGAGTAATGGTGATTATAGTAGAGTCCTACTCATATTAGACCACCATTACACAGGGTGGGAGGTCCACCAGTATTGCTCTTATAGTGATTCCCACTGGTACTACTATTATTAGTATCATGATGACTTTTTTTAACCCTTTATTCTTACCATCACCTTTTTTGAACTATTACTTTTATACCCTAAGCCCTAAACCCTAAACCCTACCCTAAATTACTCTTATACCATTATCAGTAACCTCTGAGCTTGTCTACGCATCTTTGACCTCGCTCCAGGCCTGACGAAGGAAATCAAGCTCACACAGGATCTGATGCAGCTGTTCATCAAGCAGCTTGGGCTTTAGGGTTTATAGTCCTCCTTAAGTAGATAGAATTATAGGGGTTATATTGGAGACGGCTATTAAGGGCTCAGGGTTGAGGGCCCCCCTTTAAGTAGATAGGATATGGGTATATGGGGATCTTATAATAATATACCCAAAGCCATATTCTATCTACTTAAGGGGGACTATAGAGTTTAGCGCTTCCTGATCTCCACGTGGCAAAGCAGTAGCAAAGAAGAGCCTGTCACTGGAGGAGATCTTGCACCACTCGGTGTACCCGACAGGGGGGTTTCCCAAAATTAGGATAGATTAGGGGTACTTTTTTGGAGGTCACCATAAAAAGGATTATAGTATATCGGGGCGCTGTATTAGGGTCCCCCTAGTCAGGGAAACTACCATAACAAGACAACTCGAAAGTTGGAGCGTGTTGATCATCCGAAGCGATGCAATTTCTGTGTCAATCAAACAGGACCACCGCCGATAAAGATAATTGCGCCAGAAGTATAGCTAGAGAGGGCTTTCAGGTTAGATTAACGTAACATCAAATGGAAAAGAACAGGGACAATTGAGTGGAAACTGGGATTATAGGGGATTACAGGGAGCTGGCCTGGCGAGTAGCTCATTACACAGCCCCTAGAAGCCGGCAAACGGCTTTCTTCTATTGATGTTCTTATTATTGGCCATTATATACAGTTAATGCAACTACAAGTATTACCATTTGTTGTTCGCGTTCTAATTGGCCCTAGAGTTAGTTTCAATGGTGGCTGAGTCCAGACTTGCCTCAAAAATCTCATGAAGGACCCCCTCCGACCACGCTCCACAACCCAGCTGATTGCCAACCAAGGTACCAGATCCCAAGCGACTTGCTTCTCAGCTACTGAATCATCCCTTCCTGACATGTCCAGGATGGATCCCTCTGCAGGTTGAGCTTTTTTTGTGCCTCTTACAGGTCATTCCTGTTGGGATTATGTCAGTTCGTAGGTGCGAAAATCCTTGTAGCTTCAAGCAGCATGGAAGATGCAGCAACCCAGTATATAAACTCCCGAGGAGCCCAATATACAATAACAAGCCCTACACCCTAAACCTAAATAGCCGCTTGCATTCTTTTTGCCACCCTTATGCCTCCTAATCCTACTAACCCTATACCCTAAACCCTGCAGTGCATTTGACCCCTCTCGAGGCTATCCTTCGATGCCTCCAGCGGCGAGGCAGATCTCGTGAACCCCACGGCAGCAGAGCGTCTGGATCAAGTCAAAGGCTGGGGGCTTAGGCTTTGTGGTTTAGGATTTCAGGGTTTAGGGTTTGGAGGTTTCGGGTTTGAGGGTTTAGAGTTTGGGGCTTGCGGTTTAGGCTTTTGGAGTGTAAGGTTTGAGGGTTTTGGGGTTCAGGGCTTGGGATTCAAGTTTTGGCATTTGACAGTGGTGGGTAGCTTGGGGTGGGACCATGACTCGGAGCACTACTGTACCATGCGCTTCTATGCTGATTCAGTGACTAACTTTCACGTGACTCTTTGCAGGCTCCGGATGTTAGGTCAGAATCTTTACTGGTCATCCCGACATCGCTGGTGACCGTGTTTGCATCCAATGATGAAAGTCGTTGGTTCTTCGATTTTGCAAGCATGGACAACCCAAGTAAAGCTTTGGCAGTACCCTTGCGGTAGCACACTGTAATACCAACGGCATGGCCTTCTTTCTTTGCCAGGCAGGGATTACCGCAATGTGCAGCGTGTTTTTTCTAAGTGGGTTAAGGGCAGATGGGTATAGTCCTGAAACTTCAGCCTAGACTGGCGGTTCGTGTCAAGGCCATGTGCGGGCAATGCATGAGATGATTGCTCCTTGGCAGTGGATAGGGTCAGAGCATAGTGCACGACCCACCTTTGTTGCCTGACAGTTTCTGTGCACCAGGAAGATCTTTTTGAAGTTTGAGCGTTCATCGGGTTTCTGCCGGAGCCGTGCCGTTTATCTTCTACGCAACGTGCAAGGACTGTGCCCGTGATAATTCCCAAACGTGATAATTCCCAAACGTTACCAAACCTATTCAGTCGCATGTTTGAAGAATCGGCGCCGAGAGAGGAGATAGGGACATGAGACACTGCGTGATGCAAGGAACCGAGGTCAGGGTTGCCACCCTGGGTTAGGTTGAGACTTCTTGCTGGCCAGCGCACGCAAGCTAAGAAGTTAAGGAGAAGGCCAAGCAAGAGGAGATTCAAGAGAGGCAGCAGGAGGTCTTGTATCATGACCCCTTTGCAGACGAGCAGAAGGAGTATAAGCAGTCCCATGCCAAAGGCGCCGTCCGGGGCGCAGCCATGAAATCCAGGCAAGCCCTGTCCATCGGCAGCCGCATGGTACCGCAGTCGGCAATGGTAGGGGGAATGGTGGCTGAAGCCTGCGCTGCTCCTGTGCTTTGCTCGATGCCCGTACCTGCACCACCTCCGGGCGGGGCGCCACCCCCAGCTGCCCCAGCTCCACCGGCTCCAGCGCAGCCCTCGCCGACCCCAACGCAGACCCCGCCCCATCCGTCACAGGTCGCAGACCAAGCTGGCTCGGTAGGAGCCACTTCAGGCACCAGGGACTACACACAGGTTCCGCTTCAGATGGATCAGCAGTTCGAAAAGTTGGACACCGACAACTCCCTCCGCCCGACCATCATCAACCCGGCGGACAGGCGGGATTCTCAAAAAGTCGGCTTGGGGTGCACGGCAGGTTGGCTTTGATGGTGAAATAAAGAAAAACACGAGAGCAGGGGAGGTGGAAAATGATAGGGCTGCATGGCAATTTACTGCAATTGAAATGAACAATTGCGTTGCTGCACGGTGGTGACCGTCATCCTCACAAGCCAACAGATTCCAAGCATTCCGACACCTGCAATATCATTCTGCATCCTGCATGCTCTATCTATCTATTTGCAGAACGGGGTCTGGAAGCTCGGCATCTTCTCACGCAACTTGCACATTCGAACCACACACACACAGAAGGGACCTCACAAGAAAGATCAGAATTTTGCCGCACCCTTGAGCCACACTACGACAAAGTCCTGAGCTATGCAAGTTGCTGTTAAGGAACTTGAAGCAACCATATTTGGTGTGTATATTTATATATGTGTGTACAGATACAGTAATTAATATGCTTCCCCATTGTGGTAACTTTTAAGTTAACTAACCAAATTGTGGGTATACATACAGGGCAACTTTTGAATTAACTTCCTCAAGAGCAGCCCCGTAGGCAGTCTAAATCCTTAAATCCCTCAGACCCCTACACCCTGAAGCCCTTAACCCCTAAGCCGAAAACCCTTAAACCCCTCAACCCTTAGGGCCCCAAACCCTTAAAAACCCAAGCCCTAAACCCTTAAGCGCCTAAACCCTAAAATCCTTAAAGCCTAAACCTTTAAACCCCAAACCCTCAACCCTTAACTATGCAGGTGGACCAAGCAGTCCCAGAAGGCTCTCCTGGCCAAAGCCGAGACCTCGTATCTTTCGAAGACAGAGCAAAAGCAGGAGCGGGAGGCCGTTGGTTGATCCAGGGAGTTTAGGGTTTAGGGTTTAAGGTTTAGGGTTTAGGGGCCCTAAATAATTACCAATATTATGGATCCATATTCCTTGTATAATTATACTATACGCTATACGGTACTTCAAATGGACCTCAACATGATATTGGTAATTATTTAGGCCCCTGTAGTACTATTACGGTAGGGTTTAGGATTTCAAGGGTTTAGAACCTTGGATTTCAAGGGTTTAGAACCTAGGATTTCAAGGGTTTAGGACCTAGGGTTTTGGGTTTAGGGTTATTCTGGGAGATATGGGGTTGACACGCGTTCAAGGAGGAATTTCAGAAAATTCTGCAGATCTTGGTGGGTCGTTAAACGTTGAATGTACGTGGTAGGGGTGATTGTGGTCCTATGACCTATGCCTACACCTGACTGTCCTCAAGATGTGTAGGTTCTTGGCTGTGTCACAAATTTGAAGAACCTCTTTTGAACTGCAAAGGGGCTTTGGGCAAGTTCTCAGAAAATGAGGCTTACCGGAGCAGCCGTCGCCATCAACACCTGCCCACGAGAAAACTTGCAAACCCCTTGCTGGACCGGGTGGAGCCCGCCCTGGGCCCTATGTCAAAAAAGGATAGTATTCCAGACCTTCCTTGTAACCTGAAATGGGGACGTCGTCCCTAACAATGGGTATTTAGGGTATATGGAGAGTAGATGGAATGTCTGAGTCTAGGTACGGGGCTTTTTTTCGTGTTCAGTTTGAAAGGGAGTGTATTGGTTTGCGGACTGGCGGTTGTGTAGGGTCTGGGGTTTAGGGTAGGGTTTAGGGTTTAGGGTGTGGTTTCCAGTCTTTGCACAACGCTCGCTCTTCCATTGTTTTACATCCACCGCGGTAATGCAACACATGTGCTATTCCCATCCGAGATGGTTTGCGTTCATGTTCCTTCTTTCGACACGCCATACATGACAAGCCCTTGCAAGATTGAACTCCAAAAAGGAAGTGTTGCAATTGTTCCTACCCTTAAATGTGTCTTTCTTGAGGCCGCCTTTGACCTCCTGGATGCTCTGACAAAGTCAGGAGCTCTTCCGCTGACCCATGCAAGTTTGCATGCCCCTTCACCGCAAATGCAAAGAAGCTTAGACTTTAGGGCCAACAAGAAGTGGTAGTGCAAAAGGATTTGGCGGCTGCACAGGCCCAGATTGATAAAGGAGAATTGGCATTCGAGGGTTTCGCCTAACTACATCCGTAGGCACGCGTTGAGATAGAAGTGCCCTTTGCCTGCCATATGCGTACTGGTTCTTAGTAGGGATAAGGGGATTTAATCCCCATATATCCCTGTATAATATAGTCTTTTATTCCCTAGTAACCCTAACCTAAACCAGATGTGTACACAATATTTCCCAAAATTCCCTACGTATGGATTGTATCTCGATGTTTGGCGGGTTCCTATCATAGACCCACGCCAGGTTCGAATCCCAGTCTTTGCCTTACCCGAAGGGTCCATGTACCTATATAGCACATACTTTGGGTCCCAAGCGGTTCCTATACAGGTATTTGGGGCCTAAGTATATACTACATAGGTACATGGACCCATTGGGTTATAATGCCTGAAACAGCTGTTTGGAGTTGCAGCAGGCGCGCTCGCATGTCACAGGGATTACCGTATGGGGTGCGGTGAGACTTCTGTGAGGGTCTGAAGATTATGTGCGACCTACAGGGCAGGATAGTGGTTTAGCGTTGAAAGCAAAATGGAACAACTCGCGTTCAGAAAGTTCACGGCAAGAATCCCGAATTCGTCCCAGGTGGTAGCGTCCTTGCGTGGAGCTCCCTGCCTAGATCCTCCAACTGCCCCCTATTAGGGCCTGAGTATCCACTATTAGGGACCCTATGTCCCCTATTCAGGGTACTGCAAGGGTCTTGGTACCCAAAAGGAAATTCTAGATAGCATCCGACATGATCATGGCCTTAACTCGGTGCTGCAAGCAAAGCCAGAGCACTGGCTTCACGAAAGGTGGTAATCGCGGCCACTCACTGCTTCGACAAGACCGTCACCGAGACTGTCATCCAGAACAATGTCAACCCCATCGCGAAAGTGGAACCATGGCTTCAACGCTGAAGAGATTCCGGACTAGAGAACTCAGGCCTGAGCCTTTGAATGTAGTTCCTTTTTCATAGCCAGCAGTACATGCAAGCTTCAGAACTTGGGGAGGCTGTTTTTTTTTGCACGTTGGCCTGGGGCGCAAGTGCGTGTATCATGTAATTTGGAGCCTGTGCTTCTCCCCCTGAGCAATGACTGATAGATCGTTTTCCCACAATAGATTCTCCAACGCCAGGTGGTGCCATGCTGCTGGTTTCAGAGTTGTATTGTGAGCATGCTCATAGGCACATGGCAGCTTCGGTGCCCGTATGCGTTGCGGTATGCCACGGACTGCGTGCATTGTCGGCGGCAACCCTGTAGAACTCCACAGGGAGCCAGGGATGCTTATGCAGACATATGAACAGGCAACCCATAGCCGCTGTTACAGCTCGGAACGAGATCCGCCCCGTCAAGAAGAGCAAGCAAAAAGCAATCGCGGACCTGATAAGGATCCAACGAACAAAAATCGTCATTCATGATGCATAGTCTGAGAGAGCCAGCTGCGAGTTTCGTGCTCCAACTGTTAGTTTCCGCAATATAGGGCCTACCAGAAAGCCTTGGCTTTGAGAACCCTTTTGACTGACTAAACCTACGCCATTGGTAGTCTGTTGCCAAGGAGAGGTCCTCGCTGATCATGGCCTCCACGGTTCACCAGAAGTCTGTCGCTGGGACATGCTTCGGTGTTCGGGTTAAAGGTGTAGGTGTTGGGCTGGCTTGGGGGGTTCAGGGTTCGATGCGGAACAGAGGGAGGATCCAGGGGTTTTTAATGATCTTCGTCTGTCATCTTGCCTTGTGCCAGGGACATGATCCGAGCCAGGGTTGCAAAAAAACAGGGCACACAAACCAATTGCTTTTTCATGAGCATTTGCGTGAATGTAGAGGTCCCTGTATTTGAGCTGAGCCTGCGCATTCTGAGCAATGAGGGAATTCCTGGTTACCCCGACACCTAACTCGGACCCTACTATAGTCACATGTAATAGCTATAAGTTCCTCATTGCTGGGGATTTTCCATTCGCTTACTTACCAGACCACAAGGTTAGCGACCTCATCAAGGATGAGCAGATCCAGCGTGTGCTTTGGCATCCATTTTTTGATTGAGCAGGTCTCCCCTTTTTACGATGGCAGGGTGCTCTAGTCGTCTTTTTGAGCGCGGGTGGCGGTATTCCGTTCTAGTGGTGCTCGATAGTCTCAAGTCCCATGTCTTGCATAATCCTGTACATACCGGTGTTTTTTCAGCAACGCCTACCTAGCCCACATAGTCTCCTCACAACTCAGATATCGTCCCACGATTTCCCAAGGGTACCCAACAGCTTTTGCTGCCTGTTAAGACTACACGCTTAGTAAAGAGATGGCCCCTGATTTCTAGGCGCGTTTAGGCTGAGTTGAGGATCCTGAGGTTCGGGGGTATAGGCCTTAGGGCCTTAGGGTCCCTCACAGCGTAGGCCGGCCTCTTTCCTGACATCTGCGCAGCCCCAGATGTTGGGGTTTCTTCTCAGCCTCATCGAACTTTTTTTATGATGTGCTAGGAGTTGCTGGGAGCATTTCGCTTCGCAATTTATGGAACCCTCTAGCACTCTGGACAACTTGTTCAGGGGCATTGGTTTTGGAAATGTTCAAACAGGAGAGCGCTTTCGAAAACCCTTAAACTGGCCTTTGGTTAGCTGGCGATGTGGTTCGCAGCGGTCAATCAAGGAGTCGGGGTTGCTCTCAGTCCATTACCTGGATCGTGTTTTCGGAAAATCAGTATCAACTATATCCCCATGTTATGGTAACCTACTTTAATTTCCTCAACCGCAACCCAGTAAGAGTTCTGCAGGGGTAAAAATAATGGGGTGTTATTGCAAAACTGTTTCTCCGGCCCCTCAGCCCTACATGTTCTTCCAACATGTCATGACGTCCGCACCTTTGAATCATTATCTGCGTTGCTGTTAAGGAGCTCAATTAAACTAAGCTACCATAACATGAGGATGTAAGAAATAATCGCGGTTTCCTTGTTACAGTAACTTGAGCAGCAACCCAGTTATTGCCAAGGCTTCGGAAAACCATGCCCAAGACCCACCAAAGAACCAGTACACTGACTGTAAGAAAAAAGCAGCTGAGGTGACCGCTGCCTCCCCGCAGCTGTTCCTGGAAGATGCTTCTAGCTAGAGCTGAGCATGGCAGGCTTCAAGAGCAGAAGCTCAATACACTCTCCATCTTTACACGAATTCAGCTTTTTGTAGTCAAAGGAGTTGTGAGCCAAGCTGAAATGGCGTCCCGCAAGCCTGACCTTTCAGCACACCGCACTCTTCAACTCTGGGACGCTAAATAAGTACCAATGCTGGCAAATCAAATGGAAAGAAAATTCAAGATGACACGGAAACCGGGGGGCGTGATGTCAAGATGCCAAAGCAGAGGCTCGCACACGTTGGCAGCCCCATAGGCAAGTAGAATTTTTGCTGCAGGGAGCCTGACCACGTTTGTACACCATGTAGCCACACCTTCCATTGTTCGAGGTAGCACCAAAGAAGCCTGCAGAGTCTGAAATCCGCCCCAAGGGCCATGAGCTGCTTTAACTGCACAGGCCAGAGCAGTCTAGCCCTTGGGCGGCAGGTCCCACGCGCGCTGTGGCTACAGGAACCCTTCGTAGAAACTTGAGTAAGTTGAAGTGTGAATATCAATTGTAAGACTGTGAGAGCTGAGCAGAGGAGAGTGTTTGCTTGCAGCTTGGTCTGCAGGACAGGACGGGTCCTTCTCAGGCAGATTCTTCAGACGGGTTAGAATCTAGCCTCTTTGTTGTGTAGCACGCTGGTCCCTTTTGTTGTGGAGCCCGTGTTGGGCCTTTCTTGTTCAATCTACGATGCGGGCCAGGGGCTCATTGCAACCCTGATCTTCGTCATTTTTGTTTGCGGGTCGTGAGGCCCTTTGGACTCTAAAGCCTATGCCCCTAGATTTCCAGGTTCTAGGGTTCGTGTTTCGTGCAGATGAGTCAGGCGCGCGTGGAGGCTTCGGATTGTTTTCAATTCCATGAAGTGTCAAGCACAAACTCCAATTTCCTCGCAGCTCAACCAGCATCCCAGGCTGTTTGTATGAATGACGAGCTAGCTACTAGTTGTTGCGAGTGGGTGGACGTATCCACCAAATTGATTGTGAGTTCTTGGGCTGTTGCTTGGTCTGCGAGTTGTTACTCCACCCGACGGCTTTTGCGAAAGATTGTACAGTCGCAGACGCAGGAGACGTCAAAAGGTGCAATAGAAGGCCGTGGTCTTCAGGTGCCACATGTTGAAGTCCAGCATATGTTTTCACTCCAGTGCCTGTCGTAGCCATTCAACAGTACATCACCCGACTAAGCTGTGCGACTTGCTCCCGTCTGTTGAAGCTTGATCCTGCAAGGGTTGTTGTTAGAGTTGGTGGCATGCGGCATGAGCACGAATGAGCACAATGTGCTGGAGTTGCGTGTCATTGCGTGTGGTAGTCGAGCTTGAGAGAGTCGCTCGTGCCTGTCATGACTTGTCAGTGTGGGCGTGGGGGCGTGATAGTGAGTAGGAGTAGACATAGGCGCCTTTCTTCCAAGTGAAGCCATGACACCCATTGAGTTTTCGATGTGTGCTTTGCGTGTAGGTGGGCTCGAGGACTATGATGATGTTCAATCTAGACACCGCTGCAACTGGCGGATGCTGTCAACATGTTCAACAAAAAGCCCCAAGCAAGTGATGTCACAACTTTCCGCACCGATTGCTCCCCTTTCTGCCGTGCCTTGCCATGGCGGCACTTCCCTCGCGCCAAGCTGCACCAAGTGGCCTGCGAGTGGCGCTGACATCATCTCAGCCACTGTTCAGGGGAGCACATGGGTTGCGGGAGGAGCTACGGCCGCCCACAGCAAACAGAGGGTTTTCGTGCTCGGGTTCCAGGAGCTTAGGCTTCCTGGGCTTTGTGGCGCCAGTGCTTGGGAGGAGGCGGAGGCGGGTTTGTCGAGTTGGGGGCACGGAGGAGGGAGTGAAGGAGGCAACTTTGGCCATCGTGGGCCTGGGCAACGTGGGTTCCCAGTTTGATGGGACTCGCCACAACATTGGCTTTGCAGCTGTGGATGAGATCGCCGAGACACTTCTCGGCCCCTCAGCAGCACTCATGTTAATCCAGGGGCGCCAAAAGCTTTTGTGGTACGTAGGCTGCAAGCTCCGCACACCAAATGGCCCTAGCTTTGGAGTAAAAGCATAGAAGCCAGATTCTTACGGCTATAGTCCCCCTCACGTAGGTGGATTATGGGGAGTATGGCGTTTCATCAGCTTGGGAAATTCCATATTCTATCTACTGAAATTGGATTATACAGCAAGGACCACGCGCAGCTCGCTGTCTTAGCCCTTCCCGGACTGAGGATGTCCGACCTTTCTGGTGGATACATTTACTAAAAAAACAAGATAAGAGCAGACATAACCCCCAATAGTTTAACGGTTGAGACTTAATGGAACCCAATCCAACCCTGAACCCTGTAGACCCTGGCAAAAAAGGCCATGCATGCAATAGCAACAATGAAAATACTAGGCAAACACAGTACTAGAAATGGTCACAACATAGTATTAGTGCTTGTGATAAGTGATAAGTGGCCGTGATGGTGATAGTCATAGTACTAGTACTGGTAATAGCAGCAGTCGTAGTCGTAGTCGTAGTCGTAGTAGTAGTAGTAGTAGTAGTAGTAGTACTTGTAGTACAAGAACTGTTTGTTGTTCTTATTATTACTATCCTCTGTATTGCGATTATTAATGCCCCGAGCACTGAACTTGGGGTCCCGGAGCAAGGCACAGACCGCTGGACGCTCAGCGGTAGCATATGGCAGGTGCGGGATGTGCGGTTTCGGAGGTTTGGGTTTAGAGGTTAAGGGTTTAAGGGGTTTGGGATGGTTTGGGCTTAGAGGTATAGGGTATAAGGGGGTTTGGTTTTGGGCTTAGAGGTTGCCTAGCAATTACTGTACTTAAAGGCTCAGGGCCACAGGGGCTAGGGCA